GTTATGATGGTGGCAATGAGGATTGACTTAGTATACCTAATAATAGCTATCGTGATGCGATTGTGCTTCCGTATTGTGTAAAATGTGTCACGTAATGTGTTAATGTTGTGTTCTAAATTACTTAGATTGTTGAGAAAGGTTTGTTACGTGTGTGCTGTGTACGAAGGAAAACCATGTTCATGGTTCATGTGGGTATATAAAAAATGATTATTATGTCAGTGAAAGGAGATACTTTTTTGTAGTAGTAAGTAAATAAAAATAAAGATTTAAAGGGTGTGTAGGTGAATGGTATTTTTTTAGGGGAGGGTGTTTTGTTTTCTTCTGGGATTTTTTTTTTTTTTGGAGGTGGGTTTGTTTTGTTTCGCTTTTATTTTTTTTTAATGAGTGCTTACCTTCGACAGTGTCGGCCAGAGATGGTTCCGCAGCGGCGGCCGACGATGACGAAGAAGAAGATGAGACAGGCACAAGTCCGTTCATGGAATCCAGCTTCTCTGAATGCTGAATCATGTTGAGGATGGCGGAACAAGCCACCAACAACAACACAACTCCTTCTTCTTTTTCTTTGCTGCCCGCCTGACTTCCAGCCTCACAATGATCACAACGTTATTTTAAAATAATAATAATAATAATAATAATAATAATGATGATGATAGTAACACAAACAAATGCTACACACACACACACCGAGAGAGAAAGGGGGAAATCCAAAAAAAAAAGTGTAACCAAACGTCCTCCTCCAGTATCTTCGGTTTGACTCGGGTAGGAGGGGAGATTTGTTTTTATCTTTTTTACACCAAATGACAACTTCTCCTTTCGACTTTCTTTTTAATATTTATATTTTATCCGTTATTTTTGATACATGGCGGCCGAGGCAGTTAAAAGAAGAAAGATGCTGTAATATTTTTTTTGTTTTTCTTGGCTTATTTTTTTTTAAACTTTGGTTACACGGGGGGATCCCAAAAACAATATTGTAATATTCTCCCTGTTTCTGGGTACTAGTTTCCCCGTGTTTCTTCTTATCGTGATTCTGTGATGCCTAATGATATTTTTTCTTTCTTTTTAGTCGCTAATCTCCTTCTTCTTCTTCCTCTTTTTGTTGTTGTCGGCATTGGGCGCGTAGAATGCAACCTGTTCTCCACTAGGAGAGTGCCGCCGACACTGCGCATGCGCAACCGCCATAACTAGGTCACAGCTACACGAAATGGACAAAATCGGAAACGGGATTCGTTTAGCTGCTGTTTAAAACCAGCTAAAAATGTCTGTCCGGTGCAGGTCTTCATCTAATAAATATAATCGAAGAAGAGAATTTACTTTGTGGATTATGTGATTATCTTATCTACCACTTCTTCATCATTTTAAAGACTTATATCCGATCCCTCCATCCGAACCCTCTTACGTATGTGTCAATAAAAATGTGTGTCTTTTTCTAAAATTATCCGTATGTGTGTGTGTGCGCTTTTTATTTTTTGGGTGGTGATGGAGGGAAGGGTAAGAACGTAACATGGGCGAGGAAATAAACTTATTTAAGTCCCTGAATTTCTTTTATTTTTTATTTATTTCGTTACAATTCCTGAAGTTGAAAAACCTTTAAAAATATTAACAATAATTTTCCACACTGATTTATTCTGTCTTATTTTTTTAATGCTAAAATTTTCTTGTTTTCTTAAATTAATTCGATATATGTTTTTTTTTCACCATCATCATACATTACTATTTCAGTATTTATTAACTTGAAAATACGATCCAAATTTTAAAAAATAATTTTCTGTCGAAAACTGAATCTTACCATTCCGTTTTCACTGATAATCATTTATTTTAAACTCTTGCATGTGCAGTGCGAAAAATGTAGTAGGTAGTTGGAACGTAGTAAAAGGGCGATATGACCCCTTAAAGTGATGAAGTGCCCTAGTGATGCTGTTGATGTATTTTATATTGTGAAAAAAAGCAAATATTTACTACTTTTGTTAAAAGAGCCTGCAAAGGAAAGAAACTGATTGGCAATAATAAACGATTTATTTATTTTTCATGGCAATTGTTTGTAAACTTCTTAACGTGAAAACATTAGCTTTTCCTTGATCGTGTGTGTGTACACGTGTAGAATGTTACCACAGCTCTCTAGTATAAGAGCAAACAAACTATTATTACAGAAATGTTATCTTTCTTTCTCTCTCTCTCTTCTTCTTTCCCCCTCTCACCTTATCTCTCACTCTTTCTTTTACTTTGCGCACTCACTTAAACACATGTGTGTGTGTGCGTATAATGAAATATGTCTGACAACTGCGAGAGAATGTGGATTCTAATAGTCAATAGAAGCGATTAGTACGATTTTGTAAACTAATTTACAAATGTATGCCTGTATGGGATAAACTGGAGATACAGACCTACGGACCTAACACGTGTGTTAGTGTAAAGGAAGGGCAAGGATCCCCCACACACACACTCACCTCAAGTTATATACTGAGCTAGCGTCAGTGAGACACGCAACCACTGATCCTCACGTGTGAGGGCACTTGCTTACTCTCCCGTTACTCTCCCAGCTAACTCTGACCGCTGACTGGGAAAAAGAAGGAAAAAAAAACAAACTTTTATTCCCTCTAGAGATCTTTTTTTATTTATTTTTTGTCGTTTTTCACAATTAAAATAAATATAAGAAGAAAAAAAAACGAATTTAAGCAAGTTGCACTTTTATTATAATCAGTATAAGGCGGAAAATAATTTACCACACTTTGTAAAATTGCAACAAGCAAATATAAATGTATTGTTCGGAGAGGTTTCTAGGTGTGGGGGTGGCGAAAAGAGGGGGGTATTATTTTTGGTATGTATCTTGGTATATTATAACATTAACATCCTCAGCAGTTCTGTTGAAAATATTGATAATTTTCACAGCCATCATTAACCCCCCATTTTTTTCATCAAGTAACATAAAAAGATTTTTTTTAGTGTTAGTTTTCATTGCTTATTTCCACTTGACTTCCTCGTATTTATTTTTTTCATCAATGACAATTGTTATCACCACGTGTGAGAAAGAAACACACCATTTTTTTACTCGTACTTAAAAAGTCGTGAGCAGTAAATTGTTTTAGTGTTTTTCCTTTTTATTCTTTTGCTTATAAAAAAAATGTACTTGTTTAATTCGGGTTATAAAGTAACAAAATCATATAGTGGTGTCTTATTTTTTAAATAATAATTTTTTTTTTCAAAACTTATTGTAATCTAGTTTTCTTGTTGCTTTTAAGAAAATAAAGTAAAAAGTCTAAGAAAAGAAAACCATACGGAAAAAGTAAAACCAACCACTAAAACTAAAAAGAAGTAACTAAAACTATTCTCCCCACCCGTCCCAACACTGACACATAACGCCCCCAAAACGTTACTGCATTTTATTCAAATTCAATTCACTAATTCACATTATTAATTTTATCATTTCTCTCTTTCACACACACAACAACATTAACTGGACACGTATACTTGCTCGATAATGTTTACATTCGAAATGTTTCAAGTACATACAAAAAAGGTGTTTAGTTTTTTATGTAAACAAAAAAAATGCTTATTGCCCTTCTAAGGTTTCGAGTTAAAAGACAGGATGAATTTTGACTTGCTCCACTCCATACATACCCCTACTTTTATTTTAATTTAATTTTAATTTATTTATTTATTTTCTCAACTTATCACTTATTGCAATTACGAAAGTATTATTACCTATTTCATACTTGATTAGTTAGTTTCTGTTTACGGTAAAAAAAAAAAAAATAACAAAAAAACACAGCACAAGGAATACGTAACACGAACAGACACTTCATCCAAAGAACACTTCCGCTTATTCTTTCTTTTCTATAGAACAACTTACAGGTTGACATTTATGATTAAACACCTCAATTCTTCATTCCCATGAGAGGTGAATTTAGAGTGCTTGCTATTATGAATCCTTAAATGAAATGCCATATTTTCCATTACTAGCCAAAGCGATCTTGGTGATTATTACAGATTATTACAGAATTCACTTGAGAGAGGGGGTTCGTTAATCAGGCAAGCCATTGGTAGCACGTTTGTAAGCTCATATGTTGCATATCCCTATTTAGTATGAATTTGTATGTTGTTCCATAAATTACGTTTAAAAACATGTGCTATCGTACATACATCTTACTTATTATAAAACGCAGATTGTGTGTGTGTGTGTGTGTGTACGTTTATATAGTGGATCGGATTTCCTACATTTTTCAACCGATTTCAACAAAACTTCACAGGACTGTGTAAAATTACCTTGCGGTGGTTCTGACAGCGCCAAAAATTGGAAAAACACAATTGTTTTTGCATGAAATCAATTTGAAAACACGATTAAGAGGCATCGCTGTTGCGAGAATGAAGAGGGGGAAACTCATATCGAGTTATACTTATTATAAAACCCAGGTTGTGTATGTGTGTTCGTTTATATATGGGATCAGATTTCCTACATTTTTCAACCGATTTCAACAAAACTTCACTTTTTTGGCAGGTAGTGTTTCTTATTGTCTTGCACACTTTTTTCTTTATTTTTAAATTCAGAATGCTTTAAAAATTCCATGTACAAGACAATTGTTTATAATAAAATTCTATTCAAATTCAATCGATAGACTCATAACGATTGAAAACAATGTTTTTGTTTGAGTTTGACCAATTCCAAAAAAAATAATAATAATAATTAAGACATGCGTGTCCATCAAATCAACCTTAAACAATAATCTTCGTCAATTTTATTTTTCAGACTTTATGATGGTCGATACTTGATCTGTCTCTTACTGTTACATCCCCGGGCAATTTCCTGCTTTTTGTTATTCTAAGAAACTTTTAGTTTTAAGTTTTAAATCATTTTTGACACTCCACCTTTTCTTTGTTGTACCATCCATTCACCCAAACTCATTAAATTGGTTACTCTCTTGCTTATCCACTGCTTCTCTTACCAAGTTACCATCAATATGCCCGAGAGTGTTAAATTCTCCAGGCCGTCTTCTCTCCTTATGAGCTTACGACCACATCACATTGTAACACCGGTTCCCGTACGATCACCGAAATTAAGCAGCGTCAAGCTTGGTTAGTACTTGAATGGATGATCTCTTGAGAATACCAGATGTTGTCAGATTGGATATGTGGGAGTGGTGTGATGGATAATGGCTCAGAATTGTCAATCGGAGAGCCAATTCCAGTTGGATTCGTTATATTCGCTTATACGTAAATACTCTTTCGGAAAGGTATCAATCAACGTCTTCATCTCAAAAAAAAAAAAAAAAAGATTCTTACAATCTAAAAATATTCGCTGGCTTTAAATAACCTGCAAAGGGCTGATAAAGCGTTGAAAACGAAATCAATCAACCGATCTCTCATTATGTGTCCCAGAATTTTCAACTGTCTTTCTGATTGTAAATGTAAGTTTCATTGTTGTTCTTATTTTCCTTAAAGCTTGCTCGTTGTTCACGTAACCTATGCAGGATATTCTCAGCATTTGTTAGTAGAACCACATCTCTGTTTTTTCAAATCTCTTTTTCATTTGTGATTGTCCAGAATACAGTGCTCTATAGGAAATGGAATATTACAAAACTCTTTTCTTTAATTTCAACGAAATTTTCCCTGCCGATTTTAATTTCAGTTGGAAGCCAGAGTTAAAATATATCTGTTAGTGTTATTACATATTTGAGTTGGTTTGGGGCTCTTAGATCATTGCACCTTAAATTGAATCCAGGGTTAAAATACTTCAGCTAATGTTAAGTGGTTTACTCTACTGATACTGGTAGAATTATTTCTTCTAGATTAAAAGCCAGTGTTGAAATGTTTACATATTTAAGTCGGTGTTAGCGTTCTACTGTCTTAGGGTCAATTTGGGATTCAAGCATAAGGCCAGTATACCTGGATTGAAAGCCAGAATGAAAATATTTCTGTTATTATTCTATTATATTGGCGTCAGCTTTGAGAGTATATTATAGGAATGCAAAGGGCGATTAACTCCCTTTGGTTAAGATGAATTCATGAGTGACGTCAGTTCACAGAGTGCCGGTGAATGACGTCAGTGACGAACGCCAATTGCTATTTAGTACGCCTGAAAGCAAGACATGTCTGCCCGCGCCAATTGCTATGTAATCAGCATAGAAACAAGGTATGACTACTCATAGCAGTTAAGAGAGCAGGGAGAAACACATGGTATCACCAGGCACATAGCTTTGGGAAATATTACAAGTAAGACTGACTCTCTTCTCTCTCTCTCTCTCTCTCTCTCTCTCTCTCTCTCTTTTATATTGTTTGTCGTATGCATATGTTATAATTTCTTTGTGTGGGGCAAATTAATGACAAGTTTGTATATATCGGTATAAACGATCACTTTGAGTGCAATGCATGTTTGTTATTCTTTTCTTTCAGCCATTTTGTTTCGCCCGTTTATTAAGATATTACTACACCACGGATATAATAATGGGTAAATGCAAACGGGATATATTCTTTCTTGCCTAGCACTCCCATTAATGTTATTAGTACGGTTATCTCACACCACTGAATATAAACGCCTGTAAATATTACTTCCAAATAATAATTGTCAAGCATGAACATTTATTTACTAGCTTTCCACCATCGAATTGCATTTTTTTTTTTTTCTCTTTTTTTTTTAATCACACATCTGGAGATGAAGGAATGGCAGAATGATTGTATACTTGCACTCCGATTAATTATCATTATTTCCGTAGCTCAAGTGGTTAAAGCGACGCCCTTGAAAGACGGGTTCTCGTTGCGTGGGATGCGAGCCACGAATTACCGGGAGTTACATCTTTATTTCCGTTTTCACGCTGTTATTCTCTAGTAATCGAAGAGCTTATCGACCCGAAATACTGTTATATTAAGTAAACATAATATCGAGTAAAGCTGATGCTGCTAGTAGTAGTAGTAGTAGTAGTAGTAGTAGTAGCCGGATACTCTTTTTTTTTTCCGAGAACACCCATCTGCCAGGGCGGCTTGCCAAACCCTTATTGCAGACACTCGCGCAGGCACTTTTGCGCTTGTTCAGCACCCACAGAACCAACCTCTAGATTATATTGCAACTCTGCCGAAGGAACCTTAGTTACAATTTTTGGGAGAGAGCGCATAATCTGGCGCGATTAACAGTTTTTGAACAAGGCTAGTACGCTCAAACTCTCGGTCACGATGACTTGTGACTCCGTGCTAGTGTAACCATCGACCGCTTCCGAACGGTTATGGTTACCCAGTTTCACTTACAAGGATGGAGTCAACACAGTATGGTTTTCAGACACTTCCCAAATGTGCCGCATGCTGTGATCGCCTCCACGGACCAATAACATCAAGAAGTCAACTCCCTGACATGATGAGACTTGAACCCGGGTTTTATGGTCGAAAATTGAACATTTTAATCACTCAGCTATTACTACTACTACCACTACAAATAATAATAATAACGACTATGTCGATTTATCTAAAAATCTCCTCTAAAATGCCTGCATGTACACTTGAGTTCCAAACAGCTGGGGCGATTTGAATAAAGTTTGTGGAGGTCTGCAATTTTTTTGTTTTTAATCTTTTTTTTTTTTTTTTTATAATAAAACGTTTTATCCAAGAATGCTCACAGCCTAAATTAAGGGGTGGAATAATGATTTTTCGGGGGTGGGAGGAATCTTCCTCCCAAGAGAATAATCTTCCCGGCCTGTTTATTTGAAACTCAAAGATTATAAACGTTAATGCAGCGGATGATGCGAATAGACAACGAAATATTAATAAAATCGACCGTAATTCTTATTTTTTTAATAAATATTGATTTCAAAAATGCATGTTCTTCGGAGTTATCATCATCCTATTATCGCATTCAGCTTGGAGAGATACTTTCAGACCATTGGGTCATTGCAATTCTGCCTCACGCCCTCTTTTCAATTATATCCATTTTGTAATAAAGTTCCTTCGCGTTATCAATGCCATAATCTGCCTGTTCATCTGAATTGTTTGTTAGCGTCTCATCGTAACCGCTTCTCAATTATGGCTCTATCGAGAATCGTGTTCCAATGACGCATCAGTTTGTATCCCTTAAGCTAGGAACTCATAAATGTGCAATCTTATCCATCTCCAGGAAAATTACATAATCTTTCCCGCTTCTAACATTCAGCTTATTTGGGAATCTTGTAAAATCCCTGATACTACAATACATCAATGTGTCTCTCTACTTGTTTACGCGCCCATCTCGGTATGTTCGCATCTAGTATGTATAGTTTATTTTGGAACATGAATACGATAGCGAGATTCTCACTGACCCCCAACAACAACCTCACTACACTACAGTAGCAATAGGGCGAAAGCACTATATAAGATTAAGTTTAGCTCACTGCTGTATGACACAAAGCCCAATGTACGAATAAGAGCAATTGTATACAAAAGTATTCTCTTTGTGCAAGCCGGGTTCGAATTCCGGCCGTGTTCGCTACGTTCACTTTATCACAAATATAGTTGGGAAAAGATTATGAATCCATCTCTTCTCCTGCCCACACACACCGCCGGCTGTGGATCAAACAGCAAGACAGACTGGATTCGACAACATTGGTTGACAACTCGTCTAGGAAATGGGCAACTCTGAATTCAAAACCGGCTGGTGTGCTCAAGGTTAGAGAAAAGTTCTTCCGCCCTGATTGGCAATCTGTATAGAGATGGTGATTTGATAAAATCACTCGTCCCCAAGAAGCCTGGACCATTCACGGAGGCGCGTCGACCCGTTAAAACGCGCAGCGACTGAAATTCTTAAGTCACGTGAGTTACGAAATCTGCCATAAGCGGTGACAGCGTCTCCTTTTTGTATTCGAATAGAAATTACATTCCTTATGTCTTCCGCGACTAATTATTGTCTTTTATTTTAATCTAATTTGATAATCTACCTTTGAGTTTAAAATTTTTCTTCCTTTTTTTTCTTAATCCACCTGTGACATCCTTATTCCAACTTCCCCTTTTATTATATATTCATGAAATTTATTCCAATTTAGGCTGCCAGCACTCTAGAACAAATCTTTCCATTATTGAAAATTATTTTAATATATATATATATATATATATATATATATTTAAAAATTCCATTCCTTCTTTTATCTGAAATTCGAATGTGCTCAATTACCCTGAGTGAAAATAGTTTAATACGTAAAGTGGTAATAAATAAAAGACAATATTATTATTTTATTACTATAATCATTGATTATTTTTTTATAATGAATATTACACAAATATTCGATCTCTCCGCTATTAGCTTAACTAAAGCCCCTTTAGCACAGATCAGTGCTGAGAAACGTTTTTCTATAGCATTTGATAAAACTTCTGTATCTCACGACTAGTATTTTCGACCATTATTCTATGCAAGATAATTCCAAATCGTTCAGATTCGATGGATTTAATTTATGAACGATAATTTTCACCTCATACCTCAAATATTCGATTGGATTTTGGTCAAGCGACTGAGAAAACAATTCAATTACTCGAATCTTGTTGAAACATTCTGAGATTCCTTTTCCTTTTTTGTTTAAAGTATGTTACAAGTCCTTTTAACGTAAATTGTCTTCCAACTCGAAATTTGATAGCAGAGGTTAGAGGTTATATTTTTTGAAATAATAGATTGATATTTTTGCGAGTCCATCTTCGCCTCGAATTTGGTGTAGCATTTTTTTTTCCATTATCGATTGAATCCAATAAAAAAACTAAATATCAACCTAAAATCTTTGCAGTTAACTCAGTCACTTGTTTAAAGTGACTGAGTTAACTGCAAAGATTTTAGGTTGATATTTAGTTTTTTTATTGGATTCAATCGATTTAATGAGAGTACTGGGTAAGAGAGTTTACAGTTCCCCATTATAGGTATTAGTATACCTGTGATACACTAACACCTTAGTACAACGGTAAGAAGACTAGAATGACTGAAAGAAAGGAATGACAGACATGAATTGTTGTCATATATTGCTGTAATACAAGATATTATTATACAAATATGTCACTGTAATGTAATATACCTGTCACTATCCCACAGAGCGAAATTGTAACACATTTGAATGCAACAAGCAGTATAAACAAGAAAGGATTTTACTTGTAATATTTCCCGAAAGGAAAGCGACCAGGCCAGTGGTCTACTCTATGTTCTTTGGCGGGATCACTTGGTTTCCATGTTTCCACATTACCGTCGTGGGCTTATGTTGTCTATCTTCCGAACAGTCTTCAAAGCAACTGGAATTCGTTACCCCACGAACTGACCTCACTTGAGATGACCCCCGTGAATTCATCTTGCCCAAAGAGGGATAATCGCATCCTCTGCATTCGTACAGAAAGCTGGATATGAACATAGGTATTTAAGACAGAAATTATTGTCTCAATTTCTCCCTTTTGGAATTTGATTTCATGACATATATCTAGTAATACAAGACTTGCTAATTAACTCACAGCTAGAGGGAGAAGAAGTAAATTTATCCCTTTCCCAAGGGTATTTGCGCGTAAGTGAATATAATGAACTCAACAGAAATTGGAACTCGACTCTCCGATTAACAACTCCGAGCCATTATCTATTACACCACCCGCACATACAAGCCTACAGCGCCTGGTATACCCAAGCAGTCACCCATCTAGGTACTGATCAGGTTCGAAGTTGTTTAACTTCGGTGATTGTACGGGAATCGGTGTTTCGACGCGATAAGGCCGTTAGCCTACTCAATTTGGATTAGTAAAATAGATGAATTGATAAGAAATAAAAGGCAATATTATTATTTTATTTCCGTAATCATCGTTCATTTCTTATAATGACTTTTTGGACAAATATCCGACTCTCTCTATTAATGCTTAATTGAGGCACATTTGGCTTGTTTGTTTAACTGCATATCAACTGGGTCATTGGCGAAATTTAATTTTCTTGGGAGCATGAGTAATTTTCTTTACAAAAGTGTATTGCTGGTATTTTCACAATAAAAATGTATTTGCATACTTTCATAGTGTTTTGATCCAAGTGCGGAGACGCGAGACTTAAAATAACAAGAAACTGGCATAACACAAAAAAAAAAAATAACAACCCCCCCCCCAAAAAAAAACACACAAGCACTTATATTTAAATATGTACCGGAAACCAGGTAAATAGTTCAAAACATAAAAAAAAAATTCTTCACAAAGAACGTTCATTGGCGGACATCGGCTGTGGTTTAACCTGGAGAGAGATGGGCTTCGCCAGGTCTATTTGCCCAAGAAACCCTACGCATGAATGAATACCTGTCCAGCTTTCAACCTAGATATGTACTCAGCTGCGACTCTATGATCACACTAGGCCATGGGATTGATGATGCTGGTAATGATGAGTATTTTCATGATCTATGTTTTCAGTTATCTCCGAGTAAAGTTCATATTTTTTCTATTTTAGTCGATAGCGATTGGAAATAGACGAAACGAGACCAACCTCTGATCATAACCACTAAGCTTACTTGCATATTGGTGTCATTGTTAATGTTGAGACCAAATAAATGGTTAAGTTATAACAAAAACCAGGTTTGCAGATAGATCGTATATTAAACAGTTAGTACACCAGAAGAGTATTACACGACTAGTGAAAGTGTATTGAATGAACTAGCGATCAATCTATTCACTCTTCCCCGAATATTATAGTAGGCGGAAGAGTCTATCATAGACTCTTTAGAAGGAGGACACCACAACAGGTAAAATATAGTTAACCCCTCTGGCCTCCTTTTTTTCGAATCGATTCTGCTTTTAGAGAAATCGTCGTGATGTTGTGTTTGGCTGATTATAAATTATAGAAACTGTTTTAAAATTCTGACCTTGAATCTTTATTGTCATTTAATGACATATATTTCTCTGTCACTGTGAAATCATTAATGGATTCAAAGGTATGAGGGTAATTCGTGGCAATATGAGCAACACGACCATTATTTTCTTTACATTATTTACATTGTTCGGACTGTTGTCCTCATCTTCGTCATATTCACGATGTTTCGGCCGTTATACGCTCCTGCTTTCTTCGGGTAATTGGAATTTAGAACTGAACCCTTTATGGCAATAAAGATGAAGACAACAGTCCGAACAATGTAAATAATGTAAATAATTACAATACCGACCTAATGTCAGAAATACAGACAGACGATCATTTTCTTTAAAGGATTTGAAGAGATCATAGCAACGTTTAAGAGAGTATGCATTTCTATAGCTCCTTTTTTAATGTAAAAAAGAAATTATGCATGACGTCATTCAGCCATATCTTAAAAACAAACCAGAAGTCTGCAAGAATTGAATTTGCTACAAACTCTAAATATATATCAGTCTATTCATGTCTATCACAGTGTGCTTAGATCTAAATGTCATCGTGACCTCCCAGATGACAGAAGTGAAATCCTTGGTTCAAGTCTTATTAAAAACGATATTTTGTTTTTGATTAAATAATACTATACGCTTGTTAATATATTTACCTAGTAAGGTATTTGTGGCATGTTTAACATTTCCGACACTACTTTTAAGACTGATTCTACAATATATTAGCCAACGCTGCAACGTACGACTACAGTTGTTCAGCTCTTGCTACGATGTGCGTAACGTTTTCTCCGATGAAAGAAAATGTTTTCGTTGCCTTAGAAAATAAATTATGTAAGTCTCACTACACTTCTTCTTCAAAAATATACTGACTTACGTTACCTTACTATAAACGGATTCATCCATGATTCTACTGCGACCGAAAACGCTACTGTTGTTATTGCTAAGTATTTCGCACCGCTAAGAGAAATTGAATAGGCAAGCAGACAGGATGCTGGATACTGATTTTCAAGGCATGCATGCCTTTTCCACTTGAAAGATTGATATAATCTTCCCATCTACTACTATTTGGCTTTATGTAAAGCTAAAGCTTTAATAAATAAGCCGCCCACCACCACCAACACACAAAAAAAATGCTGAATGCCAAACTTTCGATAAAGCTGGAATATTTACTGTTGTAACCTAGGGAAGGGTAATGAATAGAATAATCAAATGAAGGTTGGTAATGAACGATAATACTTATGACAAGAACAACACATATAAGATTCGCCAGCGGTGTGTAGAAATAGTCAAGTGAATTCCACAACGAATCTCCAACTGCAGGATATCTACCAATCGCCCCACGCGTTCAGATGTAGCACAAGGCCGAATTTAATGTGGGGTATCCGAGCCCGTAGACTCGGCCAAAAATTCCCCGTAGACCCCGTATAAAACGGGGTCGGGTAACTGTTTCCCGAGACAAGACTCTGCCCTTCGACATAGCCTCGTCTGGGGATCCTCTTTGCTCGGAGGGAGAGAGTTTGACCAGCACAGCCAGAGGCAAATCTCTGACTACAGGATATCTACCAACCGCTCTACGCGGTCAAATGTGGCACAAGGCCAAATTTAATGTGGAGTATCCGAACCCGTAGGCTCGACAAAAAATTCCCCGTAAACCCTGTATACAACGGGGTCGGCTAGCTTTTTTCCGAAACGAGACTCTGCCCTTCGACATAGCCTCGTCTGGTCATCCTCTCTGCCTGGAGGCAGACAGTTTGAGCAGCACAGCTGGAGAAGAATCTCTAACTGCAGACCAACATACAGTATTTACTACTGTATTTATGTGAATGGGGGCATACCTATTATCGTCCGTAGATATGCTACAACATTTACAATAATAATTCGCATATAATGCTAATATCCGTTTCTCTATAAGGAAACATTCGGCATTCACTAACCGAGCAGCCAGAGTTATTATCGATTGAAATTAATAAAATAATTATATTTAAACAGTTTTTCAGGAAAATAGGTTTCTCAAGTCCCCGAAGTGGTATCGTTTTTTCAGTATTGACGGGAGTTTCCTTCCTAACCTTTTGTTTGAACTAGTGTGGAAAGTCGATATCTTTATTATATCGTTATTTTACCTTCGAGTTACATGTGATATCCATTTGAGTTGTTGCTGTTGTTGAAAGTCTTCAAGAGACATGGTTTCTGCTATTTGGTAAAGTTCTTTGTTTGTGATTCTGTTGCGCAAATCCACGATGTTCGAAGAAGGATGATCATAGCTAAGACCTACGGGCTTAATTCGCTCGAAATTATTTATAATCATTGATCTGAGAAAGCGGTTGTATATAGTTGACATTTTAAACATTCCTGATTGGGTTGGGTGTCTTGCATATCATTCATATGACAATCGTTCTATCGAGAATATTTAAGAACAAACTTTAAGCTACGAAACTGTAAAGAAAAAAAATCTACACTGTTTAATACGTATTTGTTAAGTAATATTGAAACATGGTGAAATTAATAAAGACTATAAAAGACAGAATTTATTTAACAGAGCATAAATGTGCACCCATCCAACAAGGTGGCCATTCTTCATTACTCGTTTATTATTAAGTACAACCAAAAGATACCCCGAGGGGTAAAGGACTTATAACCCAACACGTTGGGTCACTTGAGACAAATGGACGAAACTCCACATCTCGGTTCAATATATAACATCCCTCCAATCTTACTAGCGATTACGGACATAATCGTTCAACTTGATTGGTGGTCTGCGTATGCCACCCGATGTACGAAATGAAGGTGTTGTGGGTCTGTCAGTTTCCACAGTAGCCGCTGCGGTATCTTCCACATGTGGATTCTCTCCCGAGGCTGACTTGGATATTCCCAGCAATGAATAGGAGCTTTACTAGGGTTGTTTTGATTAAGCCCTGCAGGTCCTCGCAATGTCCATGTCTAAATTTGGCCACTGCACATAACTTCGAACAAGGGCCTTCATGCGCACAACCCCTCTGGTGGAGCTGCCCAGCAACACCCTTAATCTTAATTTAGGCGGGGCGACACCCCTGCTTTCCCATAATAATGCAGCTCTACAACTCGATTCAATATATAACAAATACTGACTTTTTAGAATTTGTAGGAGTTAAATTTAGCCTAAATGTGACACGTCTTCGACTGTTTATTCGGTTCGTATCAACTAAAAAAATGAATGTATGCAATTTACATTATGCTTCGAAGCACAAAATTTACGGTGTTTTCAGCAACATCTTGGGTATTACGATAAACTACATCCAGCAGCAAGGCCTCTGATCTGGAGGTTTTAAGGAGCGTAGAATCATCTCTTAATTGCTGTTGTTACCAAGTCCGACCTGACCCGGGGTGGTAGCACCTGTTAGGGTCCTACCAATTGGCAAATAGTTAACCCCCAAAACTGGGGTCAAAACATTATGAAAGTATGAAAATACATTTTTATAGTAAAAATACCAGCAATACATTTTTAGAAAAAATATTACCAGCAATGCATTTTTTAAATAAAAATTACCAGAAATACATTTTTGTAAAAGAAATTACTAATGATCTCAAGAAAATTATATTTCGACATTAAATGACCCATAAGGATTTGATATGCCGCTAAACAAACAGTATTTTGAGCATAGGGGTATTTTGACACAAAACTACAACGGTGCACTTGGACGGCAGTGAAGAAAACATAATTTTTTTAAAGAAAAGACAAGAGGACTATATGGACGACGACTCCGGCCTCGAACATGACAAGGACATCTTTTTCTATGTGTTGCATCCCTTCGATGATCATGGCTCCACATAACTTCCTATTTCGTGTGGCTCTTAGTAGTTTTCTCCCTTTGCTAAGACTCCCGCTTCTCTTTCTGTAATTCATTTACACAAGCTGTTT